GAAGTTTGAATACCCTTCACCATTTGAACGAATATGGAAATTTTCAAAAAATAAAAACCGTTAAAAATTCTGTTAAAATCTTAAACATTTATTGCGGTCTATTCCACAAGCCATTACCACATTCAAATTCGAAACTTGAAATAAACGGTGAATAATGTAGCAAAAATCATCAAAATGCCGTACATAGGGATGTACCGTTACGTCAGAGCTATACGAAGACCTGGACTTGCATAGACAATTTTCTGTTACTGCCTGTAGCATCCATTACGTACTTCAAATACAACATTTCAAACAATTTCGGTGAGTATTTTACCTAAAATCAAAATTTCGAATATAGGGAGGTAATTATTCTAGGGGCTATACAAAGACCTGGAACTGCAGAGACAACTTTCTGTCATAGGCTGTATTATCCATTGCGAATTCCAAATACCAAATTTGAAACAATTCCGGTGAATAATGTCGCACAAATCATAAAAATACCGAGTATCGGGAGGTACCGTTATATGGGGGCTATACGATGACGTGGACCTGCACAGACAATTTTCAGTTTTAGACTTTGGAACTTCACATACTAAATTTGAAACAATTCCGGGGAATAATGTCGCTAAAATCCTCACAATATCGAATATCAGGAGATACCATTATTTGGGTGCTATAAAGGGACGTGGATCTGCATAGTCAATTTTCAGTCTGAGGCTGTACTATCCCTTTTAAACTTCAAATATCAAATTTGAAACAATTCTGGTGAATAATGTCGGTAAAATCTTCAAAATACCGAATATGAGGAGGTATAGTTATATGGGGGTTATACGAAGACGTGGACCTGCACAGACAATTTTCTATCATAGGCTGTAGTATCCCTTACGGATTTCAAATACCAAATTTGAAACAATGCCGGTGAATAATGTCGCTAAAATCATCAAAATACCGAATATCGGCAGGTACCGCTATATGGGGGCTATACGAAGACGTGAACCTACATGGCCCATTTTCAAACCAAAAGTCCTGCACACATAATATACATTTGAGTAAAATTTTATCAATCTACTTCAATTCGTTCGGAAGCTAGAGTGATTTCCACAGACGGATAGACGGACAGACAGATAGAGGGACGGACATCCCTAAATCGACATAAATTTTATGCTGATCAAAATTATTTATACTTTGTGTTGTCTAAAATGTATATTTCGAGGTGTTACAAATGGAATGACAAAGTAAATATACCCTCCATACTATGGTGGAGGGTATAACAAGTCAAAAAGTATTAGTAGGTTTTGCCGACAGATGTATACCCTCAGCCAATGTTCAATTATTTGAATATATTTTGACTTCAGTTCGGATTATTCAAGTTGTTGACCCCTACAGTGTATGTTCCAAAGGAATGAGCCAATATTGTCCATTTCGTATCGGACCTAACTAAAAATGATGTAAATATTGTGACGCGCCAGGTTCGGACTATATTGGTTACTTCCTTCACCTTATATAAAATATATGATAATTTTTAGAAACTGCTTTAGGTACCAGTTATAGTCAACCAAGGTATTCAATTTTCTTACTTCATCTAAAACAGATAAAAGTATAGGTATGTGCAAAATTGCAAGAAAATCGAACATTTATATCCAATTTTATATGAAATCATAATTTGCATATTCCTCTCACTATTCTGTTTTAGAAAAATATTTAGATTTACAAAGTTGTAAAGAATCACCGACTAGTTTCGCAAGTTATGACAGATAAAAGTATTGAAAATTATGACCCTTTTGTGGGTGAGGTACCAGAATGGGTTCGCAAATATATATCATCTTCACAACAGATCTTGTGTTAGCAAACATATTTGTATGTGTGAAATTTGAAGAGAGTTGGACGCTTATTTCGCTTTCTCGAGCGTTTTTATTATTTAAAACTTTGACCCTTTGTGGGGGAGGTACCAGAAAGAATGGTCCGATCTCTCTCATCTTTATAAAAGATCTTGTGTTGATGGAAATATTGAGATATGCCACGTCTGAATAGAATCGGATGTTAATTTCTCGTTGTATGAGCTTCACGCGTATTTAGAAATTTGACCCTTTGTGGGGGAGGTACCAGAAGGAGTAGACCGACATATTTCATTCTCTCGCAAGACCTTGGTATAGTATATTTTTTGCAAATTTCGACCTTTTGTGGACGAGGTACCAGAAGAAGTGGACCTATATTGCCCATCTTAAGACCAGACCTTGGATTTATATAAATATTGGAATATGTGAAATTTCAAGACAATCGGACACCTACATCACATTTTATAAGATTTGTAATTATTCAAAATTTTGACCCTTTGTGGGGGAGGTACTTGATAGAGTGGACCGATATTGTCCATTTTCGCACCTGACCTAGCACTGACCCAAATATTAGGTTTTGCAAAGTTGGAGCAAAATTTTACTTTCTCTTTCTATGCTGTAAAATATATATATATATATATATATATATATATATATATATATATATATATATATATATATATATATATATATATATATATCTATATATATATATATATATATATATATATATATGATATATATATATATATACAGACGAACGGATGCCCCAATTCGACTCCAAGTGTCCTGAAACGAATTTGGTCGAAAGCGACCTAGGATCTCAAACAGTTATTTCCTAAGGTGTGAAAATCGGCAATATTGACCCATTCCATCAAGTACCTCCCGCAAAAAGTGAAAATTTTAAAATATGAAACGAGAGTCCTATTGTCTTCAAATTCCACACGTCCCAAGATTTTTATTAACAAAACACCCAGTGTAGATGTTGTTTATTGATCCACTTTTTCTGGCCCTTCCCCACAAAGGTATCAACATTTTAAACAACTATGAAGTTTATAAAACGCAATATGAGAATTCCATTATTGTCAAATTCTATCAACACAAGATATGCTGTGAAGAAGGTAGATATCGGCCCACTTTTTCTGGGGACCACCAACACACACACAAAGAGTCAAAAATTTGGAAAAAAAGAATCATTATTAAATACAAATTCAGCATCAAATTCACAATTTCACACATCCCAATATGTTTACTAAAGGATGGACTGGTGTAAAAATTGAATATATACGACCACTCCTTCTGGCACCTCCCCTACAAACGGTCAAAATTAGAATAAGAATCGGATTGCTTTCAAATTTCACACATCCCAATACTTTTATTAACACAATATCTGGTGTGAAGATGGGATATATCGGTTCATGCCTTCATATAAAAAAGGATCTACATTTTTAACCCTTTCAGTGTCAATGAAAATTTTTGTCGAGATAAAAATCTGAAATTCCGTACTAATTTACTAAAATGTACTCAGAAATTCGAAAACGAAACTAATAGAATAGAACTGCAATATTTTTAAATAGCGAACGTGTCTGTTATTAAAAAATATCAAAAATAACGGTTAGTAAGAAAAACAAAAAATGGCAAAGAAAGAGAGTACTTTTAAATGTCAAATATATTTGACAAAAACACTGAAAGGGTTAATAACTATGAAATTCATAAAACGTGAAATGAGCATCCGATTATGCACATACCAATATTTCTATTAACACAAGACCAGGTGTGAAGATGGGCTATACCGGACCACTCCTTCTGGTACCTCCCTCATAACGGGTCAAAGATTTGAATAATTATATCTCAAAATTAGCATTACATTCTCTTCAAATTTAACATATCCCAGTATTTTTTTAACACAAGATCTGATGTGGATATGGGATATATCGGTTGACGCCTTCTGGTACTTTCCCCACAAAGGGTCAAGATTTTGAAAAACTATAACATGTGAAACAAGTCAGCAATTTTTTTCTAACTTGATTTCTCTCAACCAGAGATTTGATGTGAATTTGGAATTTTTCGGCTTAGTCCTTCTGGTACCTCCCTTAGAGTTGTGTCAATCTAGTTCAAAGTTCATTACACCAGTTTCTAAACGTATGAGTGATTTAATATATTTTATATCACTCATACGCAGCGTTTTCATACAAACAACTGAAGTCCGATGGAACTAGATAAGACACTAGTTCGTTCGATGGAACTAGAGAAGCACAACTCTAACATCCCTCCCAAGGGATCAACATTTTGAATAATTATAACCCTTATAATATTCGAAACAAATCATAGAACTTCATAAATCTCAATATTTCTGTGGACCATCTCGGTCCAACCCTTGTGGTTAGACTGGTGACTAATTATTATTCCTGTAAAATTGTAAATGAGTGTTCGATATTCTTTAATATTTGGATAACCCAATATTATTGTCAATATTAGATGAAGTGGAATACTTCGATCTCCTCTCCAAAAATTTATCTCCAAAAATTATCAAATATATCATATAAAGTGAAGAAAGAGGTTGCTATAATCCAAATCTGGTAAGTTATAATATTTATATCAAACTTAGGTAAGATACGAAATGGAGAGTATTAGACCTCTTCTTCAGAATCTCCTCCATAAAAGGTCGAAAGTTTGCAAGTAAAAATATATGTTTAAACAAACGAATATTGAGTGTATACTTCTGTCGGCAAAACCGACTGATATTTTTAACTTGATTTATACGATTTTAAACATTGATGGTTTTCTGAACATTTGACAATATTAAACTGCACCAACCTCCAAACATCACCCTTACGATAATAACAAAAACACAGAGGATATTCTAAAATCAACTATTTTAAATAATTCTTAAATGCACGAATTTAATTCATTTAATTTTAATGCATGCATGTTCCCACAAATTTAGAATTTTAAAAACACGAAAAAAAAATCAAAACCAATTTTATGTCACAAAACTTCCTTTTAAAATTTTTGCACGCCATTTAACGGGATTTCCTAATAGTTTGGAACTTTATAAATGAAAAAATCTATGTATTTCCCGATTTCCAAAAGAAACGTATATTACAATTCCAGTTCTTTACTAGATATTTTTGAGTACCTTTGAATATTCCGTATTAATATCCCACCCTACCAAATAATTCTTAGGCACAAGTCGTGTTGGTCTTCCCAGCAATCCGAGTAGTCGCAAAAGTTCCGTTTTCGATTTGTCACAACAACAGCAGCAGCAACAATTGCCCATGGGTTTGGGCAACGCGGCGACAAGTCCACCCTCCGACGATGAGTCCAAGACAAACTTTCCACCCCGTTGGAAGGGCAGCGGTGGAAATATGTTACCGGCAACTCCGAAACAAGCCCTCTCCATGCTTAAGCAAGCCTCATCGGCCACAAATGTTTCCGAAAGACAATACTATTTGGGATCACAACTCACCGACAGTCCACAGAATATGCGCAAGGGCAGTGTTTACAATTTGAGACCCGACGACAGTCCACAACGCAAATCGAGTATTTATGCCATGAATGCGGGCGAGACGCTAGCACCACGACAGCAGCGTAAGGGCAGCATGTATGTGGCATCGTCAAGCAGCGGTACGGGAACTGCCCCAAATGCCGGTTCAAGTCTAATGGTACATGAACCGCTACGCAAGAATATTATAATGGCTCCGTCCACACCCGACAGCCCGTCCATGTCCCGCAAATCGAGTGTTGTTCCCTCAAATTCTAGTGCAAAATCCTACAAGAGCCTGTCGGATTCGTCGAGTAATTTATCGACAACGGTTTCTTCATCGCTCAGCGCCACATCGACCAGTTATGGTCTACAATTGGGACCCGGACAAATTCACCCGAAAGGTTATCGTCTCACAATGGAACGTCATGGTGAACTGAGGATGGGCTTTAGCAAGGTTAAGGGTTACGTAGAAGTCGAGGTAAGTAATATTAATACCAAACTCAACCTACATATCTCAATTCCAGATACCAACAGAGCCCTTAATATCAAATTTGAAGACTCCAGCCCTTTCCCTTCACCCAGTATCAAATTTAGTACAATTTAGTTCTTTTCGTACAAATACAGGACACAATTCCAAACCACATCCATATCTCAATCTCAGATACCAACAGAGACCTCAATATCAAATTTCGGGATTTCATTTCTATTCCTTCAACCTATACCAATATTTGTACCATTAAGTCGTTTTGGAACCATTATAGTACGCACATCCAAACCAGGTTCTTCTCTCAACCCCAGACACCAACAGTGACCTTAATACGAAATTCAAAGAATTCAGCTCTATCCCTTCACCCAAAACCAAAATAAGTACTATTTAGTACCTTTTGTACAATTACAGTACACAATTTCAAAACCACCTCCATATCTAAATCCCAGATACCAACAGACAGCTCAATATCAAATTTGAGGATTCCAGTCCTATGCTTTTACCCAGAACCAAATTTAGTACTATTTCGTACTTTTCGTACAATTATAATACGCATATCCAAAACCAGCACCTTCTCTCAACCACAGACACTAATTGCTATATCAAATAATATCAAATTTGATTCAAGTCCTTTCACCCATGTCAATTATGGTATGATTTAGCACTTTTCGAATAATAATTAAACACATTCCCAAATCCATCTCCATATCTCAGTCCCAGATACCAACAGAAATCTCAATATCAAATTTCGGTATCTCAGCTCTATTCCTTCAACCAATACATAATTTTATATCATTTAGTACTTTTCGAATACTTATAGTACTCATATCCAAAGGTAGATCTTTTTCTCAGCCGCAGTCACCAACAGCGACATCCATATCAAATTTCAGGATTTCAACTCAATTCCTTAACCCAATACCAAATTAGAACTATTTAGTACTTTTTGAGCACTTATTTTTTTTCGAATAATTATAGTACACATTTCCAAACTACCTCCATATCTAAACCACAGAGACCAAAAGAAAACTTAATATCAAATTCGAGGATTCCAGCCCCCTTCCCTTCACCCAATACCAAATTTGGTAATATTTAGTACTTTTCGTACTAATATAAGACGCACACCTCCATATCCCAATCCCAGATGCCAACAGAGACCTCAATATCAAATTTCGGGATTCCAGCTCTATTCTTTCACACAATACCAAATTTAGTACTATTTAGTACTTTTTGTACAATTTTAGTTCACATTTCCAAAAATACCTCCATATCTCAATTCCAGATACCCACAGACACATCAATATTAAATTTGAGGATTTCAGTACCATTCCTTCACCCATTACTAAATGTAGTACCTTTTAGTACTTTTCGTACAAATAAAGGACGTATTTCCCAACCAACCCAACCCAAAAATCTCAAAAACAGATGCCATCAATAATCTAAATATCAAATTTAAGAATTTTATGTATATCCTTCACCCAATACACAAACATAGTACCATTCAGTACTTTTCGTACAACATCTTTCCGACATGAACTCCATATGTATAGGCTACTCATACACGATCCTAATACCAAATTTAAGATTTCAAGCATTATCTGCTCACCCTAATACCAAAATGTACCAAATATAGTACTATTTAGTACTTTTCGCGAACTTGTAGATCACATTTCCAAAACCACCTCTTTGTCACAGAACTACCGCCAACAGAGACATAATTCAAACAATTGAAATTTCCAGCTTCTACTGTTCATCCAAAACGTAATTGTACGAAATAAAGTACCATTTAGTACAATTTTGTACAAAAATATCCCCAAAAAAAACCTCCATACATCACCCCAATCTCCAAGAATTGATTCTCATATCAAATTTAAAAATATTACCACTATCCGTTCACATACCATTTAAAATAGTACCAAATTTAGTGCACTTTAGAACTTTTGGTACAATTGTTGTTAGAATTTCGAAAAATCCCTTTAGTTTGTCTATCCCACACGACATAAAAACTCTTGCTTCAAATTTCAGTTTTCCCACTCTTTTCTACCCCAAATTACAAAGTTAATACTATTAAGTACTTTTCGTGCTTTTTGGTACTTATTTCCAAATCTCCCGCCATGTATAAACCATACCCCCCAAAAGGTTATCTTAATACCAAATTTTAGATTTTCAACTCAATTCCTTACTCAAACATAAAATTTAGTACCATTTAGTACTTTTGAGTACGTATTTCCAAAACCACCTCCAAATCTCAACCCTACACACTAACAATGATTCTAATGTAAATTTGCAGATTTCAAACAGCTTCCGTTCACGCAATATCAAATTACAAACATAGTACTATTTAGTACTTTTCATGTACTTTCACAAATCTACCACCAACAGGGACCCGAATACCAAAATTTCAAAACTCCAGCTTAATCCGTTCGCCCAAAACCAATGTTCCAATTAAGAACCATTTAGCACAGTTCGCATAGTTAGTATTTATTTCCAAAACAACCTTCCTACACTGCAGCAGTAATCTTAATTACAAATTTCAGGATACCAGGGCTATAGATTCACCCAAAACCAAATTATTCCAAATTCAGTACCATTTGGTACACATAAGTACAAATTTACAAAACTAACTCCATACCCCAATCTCACACTCCAGTTGGAATCTTGATTCCAAATTTCAGGATGCCAGCTCTATTGGTTCGTTTAAAACCAAATTGTACTAGGTTAAGTACTATTTAGTACACTTAAGTACATATTTTCATAACTACCAACATCATACAGTCCAAGAGATGTCTTATTTTGAAATTACAGGACTCCAACTCTATCGTTTCTCACAAATCGAAATTGTGCCAAATTTCGTATCATTTAGTACACATATGTGCATATTTCCAAAACTTCCTACATATTCCAATCCCGCACTCCGTCGGTAATCTTATTTCCAATTTTCAGGATTTATTTTCAGGATCGGTTCTCCCAAAACACAAATTGTACCAAATTTTGTACCTTTGTACACAAAATAAGAGCAAATTTCCAAAACTACCAACATTCTTTAGTCTTACAATGCAATAATAATCTTATTTCGAAATTTCAGGATAAAAACTCCATTGGTTCTCCCAAAATTAAAATTGAACAAAATTTAGTACCATTTACACATAAGTACGAATTATCAGAACTACGTACATACCTCAGTCCTTCAATGCAATAAAATATCTTATTTCCAAATATCAGGAACTTTAACTTTATCGGTTCACCCAAATCGAAATTGTTTGTAGTACCATTATAATGTAGTACCATTTGGTACACAAAAGATCAAATTTGCAAAACTAACTCCATACCGCAATCCCACACTCCAGTTGTAATCTTGACTTCAAATTTCCAAATACCATGTCTATTGGTTCACCCAAATCCAAATTGAACCAAATTCAGTACCATACATAAGCACGAATCACCAAAATTAACTACATACCTCAGTTCTACAATGCAATAGAAATCTTATTTCTAAATATTTAGGATTCCAACTCTATCGGTTCACCCAAATCGAGATTGTACCAAATTTAGTACCATTTAGTACACAAACGTGTGATTTTCCAAAACTTTCTACATATCCCAATCCTACACCCTGGCGGTAATCTTACTTCCAATTATTAGAATTTCAACTCTATCGGTTCTCCCAAAATATAAATTGTACCAAATTTAGTGCCATTTAGTACACATAAGAGCGAATTTCCAAAACTACCTTCATTATTCAGTCTTACAATGCAATAATAATCTTAATTCGAAGTTTCAGGATCTTATTTCCAAATATCAGGATTCCAACTCTACCACTTCTCCCATAATTAATATTGTACCAAATTTAGTACCATTTAGTACACATAAGAGTGAATTTCCAAAACTACCTACATACCCCAACCTTACAATGCAATAGTAATTTTATTTTCAAATTTCAGGACTCCAACTCTATTATTTATCTCAAAATTTCATGTTTGTACCAAATTTGGTACAATTTAGTACGTACAAGTTCGAGTTTCCAAAACTTCCTACATTCTGTAGCCCTACAATGCAATAGTAAACTTATTTCCAAATTTCAGCATTACAACTCTTACGGTTATCCCAAAATGTAAATTGTACCAAATTTCGTACCATTTAGTACAAATTTCACATATAAGTACGAATTTCCAATTTCCTCAGTCCCACAATGCAATAATACCAATCTTATTTACAAATTAAATCATTTTATCTCCATCGGTTCATGCAAATCGAAATTGTACCAATTTTAGTACCATTTCGTACTTTTCGTGCATATAAGTACAAATTTGGAAAACTACCTTCATATCCCAATCCTACACTCCGGCAGTAAAGTCAATTTCAAATTTCTGGATTCCAGCTTAATTCCAAATTTCAGGATACCAGCTCTATTGGTTCATTCAAAAACCAAATTTAGTACAAATAAGTACAAATTTAAACAACTACCTACATAATACGATTCGATAGAAATCTTATTTCCAAATTTCAGGATTCCAACTCTACCGCTTCTCCCAAAATTTAAATGTACCAAATTTAGTACCATTCAGCACAAATAAGTACGAATTTCCGAAACTTCCTATATACCTATATTCACGCAAATCGAAATTGTGCCAATTTTAGTACCATGTCGTACTTTTCGTACTTTTCCTACACTCCGCAAGTAATGTTAATTTCAAATTTCGGCTCCATCCGTTCCTCTATATTCAAGTTGTACCAAATTTAGTACCGTTTAGTACTTTTCGTATACATGAGTACACACTTCCAAAACGACCTCCTTACATCGACCTACTACTCCCCAACTTTGATATCAATTCCTAATTTCAGGTTTTTAGCTCTAACCGTTCACATGATAAGAAATGGTACCAAATGTAGGATATTTTAGTACTTTTCGTAATTAACCAATATTTAATTAGTAACCATTCCGAACTTTCACGATATTTCATTTTAGTTAATTTGTGCCCGAAAAATAGTACCCGTGGACTGTGAAACACCACCCGATACGTATGTAAAATGCTACATCAAGGACGGGGATCGTTTGCGGCACAAAAAGAAAACTCGAGTGGTAAGGCATTCAGCGGAACCCATTTACAAGCAGACAATTAAATATCAGGTAATGCAAACACACAAATTTTCAAATCAAAATCCATTTTTGACTAATTCTTATGGTACTGCCCAACAGTGTTCGGATGTATTCGGTCGTAATATTGTCATTATGGTGTGGCAGCGCTGTGTTGGCTTCGAACACAATCAAGGCCTCGGTGGCACCGAAGTCAATCTGGATAAACTGAATATGGACGAACATGTCAACGGCTGGTATCCGTTGTTTCCGATGCACTCATTTGGCGGTTCAGATTCGGATAATTCTCCTTGACCGATCACGCCCAATCATCAATATAATTCATGCGACAGCATAACTGGCACCGGTCTCTTCAGCAATCAAATGGCGGCAGCAACTTTGAAAGCTGTTACCACACCATTGCGATTGACAGAGGATACATCGCCGACAGAATCGGCTCCAACAAAGAAACATTTAATGGTAACCGCAACACCATCTCCAACCACAACAACAGCCGGAGCTGCAACAGCAACAATTATTGCAACAACACCAATAGAATATAAGACACCGGAAAAGACGGACATTGTCCGGGATTTGTTGGTATTTTTTAAGAAACTCTTTAAATGTAAGAATGTCAGTGTGAACAACAATAAGGATATGCATTTCGCCAATGGCACAGCACAGCAGGGTGAATATATCTAGAGGATGCAAATATTTTGTATGTAAAACATTTTCAAAATCCCACAAAAAAATACAATTTACATAAATCTGCAAGAAATACACCAAAAAGATACATATAAACATATACATGCATATTTATATTTATATATCAATCATAGAAACATACATATTAAGAAAAAAAAATAAAAACTATAATTAAAGAAGAAATAAGTTTAGAGCATATATTTATATAATTTTTTTTTATCTAACCACACTGGAAGTATATTAAGTTCGATGGAGGCAGATTTTGTCAACTTTTTTTGGATAGCCTCCCCATTGAATGAATTTCTCATTATAGCCCATCGATTATTTTGTCCAATATCTCGAAAACTATTATGTATATTTTTTATGAAATTAAAGTTTAAAGAAAGCCTAAAAAGTTACCTGTTGAACCAAAAAACAAGTAAAATAGTATCAGTCGGTTTTGCCGACAGATGTATACCCCCAGCCTTGAGTTATGAACGTGACAGATTTGGACTATATCGGCTACTTCTTGTACTTTATATGAGATAGGAAAATTTTTCGGAAATATGCGTCAGGTAACAGATATAGCGGACCGAAGTATTCCATTTTCATACTTCATCTAATACAGATAAAATATATTGGTATGTGTAAAATTTGAACGAAATTGAACATTCGTATCCAATTTTATGCGAAATCATAAATTCCGACAAATTACATAATCATATCAGAATACTGGTTAAGAGAAATATTTAGATATAGCAAGTTGTTAAGAATCACCGACTTGTTTCGCAAGTTATGACAATAATAAGTTGGCAGGTCTTGTGTTAATGAAAATATTGAGAAGCTCCAAGTCTGGATAGAATCGGATGTTAATTTTGCGTTTTATGAGCTCGTGGATACTCAACATTTTGATCCTTTTTGGGCAGGTACCAGAAGGTGTGGACCGATATATCCCATCTTCACACCAGATCTTGAGTTAGTAGAAATAATGGGACGTGTGTAATATAAAGAGAACAGGATGTATATTTCGGATTCTTTCCTCGTTTTGATTATTCAAAACTGTCATCCTTTGTGTGGGAGGTACCAGAACGAATGGTCCGATTTCTACCATCTTTATAAAAGATCTTGCGTTTACAAAAATATTGAGACGTGCTAATTCTTAAATGTTAATTTAGTGTTTTAAGAGCTTGATGGATATTCAAAATTTCGACCTTTTGTGGAGGAGGTACTTGATGGAGTGGACCGATATAATCCATTTTTGCACCTGATCTAGAACTGACGTAAATATCAGGATTTGCAAAGTTGGAACATAATCGGATTATCGATTCTCTCTCTGTGCAGAAAATATATATATATATATATTTTTTTGAAAATCTCGATCATTTGTGTGGGAGGTACCAGAAGGAGTGGACCGATATATTCCAACTTAACACCAGACCTTGGGTTACATTAAATATTGGCATGTGTGAAATTTGAAGACAATCGGACTCTTACATCAATTGTATGAGAATTTTAATTATTGAAAATATTGACCCTTTGTGGGGGAGGTACCAGAAGGAGTGGACCGATCTTGTCCATTTTCACACTTAACCTAGTACTGGCGCAAATATTAAGATTTGCAAAGTTTGAGCAAAATCGGATTATCGTTTCTCTTTCTGTGCAAAAAATATTTATTTTTTTTTTTTTTTCAAATTTCGACAATTTGTGGGGGAGGTACCAGAAGGAATGGAACGATATATTCCATCTTAACATCAGACCTTGGGTTAACATAAATATTGGCATGTGTGAAATTTGAAGACAATCGGACTCTTATATCACATTTTATAAGAGATGTAATTATTCAAAATTTTGACCATTTGTGGGGGAGGTACTTGATGGAGTGGACCGATATTGTCCATTTTCACACTTGACCTAGCACTGACGCAAATATTAAGATTTGCAAAGTTGGAGCAAAATCGGATTACCGTTTCTCTTTCTGTGCAAAAACTAAATTTTTCGAAAATTTCGAACTTTTGTGGGGGAGGTACCAGAAGGAGTGGACCGATATTGCCCATCTCCGAACTCGATCTAAGTTTGACAAAAATATTACGATGTACCAAGTTTGGACCAAATCGGATACTCCCTTCGAGAGTTATCGTGCGCACCAGCCAGCCAGACAGACAGACAGACAGACAGACGGACGGACGGACATCGCTAGATCGACTCCAAATGTTCTGAAACGGATTTGGTCCAAAGAGACCTAGGGTCTAAAACCATTATTTCGACTAGGCACGTTTTGGCCGTATCAAATGATATATACCCTCTGTAGCCATATGGCTGAGGGTATAAAAAAATATATATGAGAATATCTGTTCCATTTCAACGTTACAATGTACCATTTTTTAGCTTAATCTGAGCACCTGTTGCAAAAATTTCATTGCCTAGTCGAAATAACGGTTTTAGACCCTAGGTCTCTTTGGGCCAAATCCGTTTCAGAACATTTGGAGTCGATCTAGCGATGTCCGTCCGTCCGTCTGTCTGTCTGCCAGGCTGGTGCGCACGATAACTCTCGAACGGAGTATCCGATCTGGTCCAAACTTGATACATCGTAATATGTTTGTCAAACTTAGATCGAGTTCGGAGATGGGCAATTTTTGTCAAACTTAGATCGAGTTCGAAGATGGCCAATATCGGTCCACTCCTTCTGGTACCTCCCACACAAAATGTCGAAATTTTCAAAAAATATATTTTTGCACAGAAAGTGAAAGGATAATCCAACTTTGCACATCCTAATATTTGCATCAGTGCTAGGTCAGGCATGAAAATGGACAATATCGATCCACTCCATCAAGTACCTCCCCCACAAATGGTCAAAATTTTGAATAATTACAACTCTCATAAAATGTGATCTAAGAGTCCGATTATCTTCAAATTTCACACATCCCAATATTTATATTAAGCAAAGGTCTGGTGTTAGGATGGAATATATCGGTCCACTCCTTCTGGTACCTCCCCCACAAAGGGTCAAAATTTTAAATAATTACAACTTTCATAAAATGTTATGAAAGAGTCCGATTGTTTTCAAATTTCACAGTTCCCAATATGTATATAAACCTAAGATCTGATGTTAAGATGAAATATATCGGTCCATTCCTTCTGGTACCTCCCCCACAAATGATCGAGATTTTCAAAAATTACATATTTTCTGCACAGAAGGAGAATAGATAATCCGATTTTGTTCCAACTTTGATATTTACGTCAGTTCTTGGTCAGGTGCGAAAATGGACAATATAGGTCCACTCCTTCTGGTACCTCCCCCACAAAGGGTCAAAATTTTAAATAATTACAACTCTCATAAAATGTGATGTAAGAGTCCGATGGCCTTCAAATTTCGCAAATCCCAATATTTATATTAACCCAAGGTCTGGTGTTAAGATGGAATATGTCGGACCACTCCTTCTTGTACCTCCCCCACAAAAGGTCAAAATTCTCAAAAAATATATTTTCTGCACAGAAGCAGAAAAAATAATCCAATTTTGTTCAACTTCGAAATTCCTAATATTTGCGTCAGCTCTAGGTCAGGTGCAAAAATGGATAATATCGGTCCACTCCATCTGGGACCTCCCTCACAAAGGTTAAACATTTTAAATATGCATGAAGCCTATAAAACGCTAAATTATAGTTGGATTCCATGAAGACTTGACACATCTCAATATTTCTATCGACACAAGATCTACTATAAAGATAGAAGGGATCTTACCACGTGGCAATACTTATATCATATTTATTAAGGTCCGATACGAAGTGTACAATATTGGCCTTTTCCTTCGAAACCTATTCCATAGAGAGTCTATAATTTGAATAATCATAATAGGAGTCGAAATATATTTAAATAAACGAATATTGGCTGAGGGTATACATCTGTCGGCAAAACCGACTGATACTTTTTTACCTCGTTTTTTTTTTTTTTTTTTTTGAAAATTGTGACTAATTACAGATCAACTTATTAATCCATTACTTTTACAAAAGTATAGCGCCCTTAAATGTCGACAAATAAGTAAAACCAAAACATTGTGACATGAATTTCTACTTACTAGTAGCCAACTTATAACTACTATTTCGAAAAAAATAATGGATTGGTAGGTTGATTTGTAAATAGTTACAATTGGCTAAAATTGATTACGAAACCCATTATTTGGAAATTGATGTTTTTTCTGGGTGATTATGTTTTACCAGATACCGAGTTTTAAAGTCATAACCTCCATTATTGTAGTCGGACGCGCATTCCGTACACAGATGTCACTCATTACCTGGTAATGAGAAAAAGCATTTGTTCTGCTTTGTACTTTTTAAGAATAACTCATTATTTTAAAACTACTGGTAAAGCAATTGTTAGCTTATGAAGCGTTAAAAGAAGAGTGGAGAGTTAACATCGTATATAACCCAAACTTTTTCGAGCACACACTCTCTCCAGCACACCCTCACTCGAGCAAGTTTCACTCTCTAGTAAAAACGAGCAAATCTAAGCTCTGGCACAAATTAAAACGTATCTGTCTGTTTATTGAAATATACTTTAACTTGTGTAATGAATAGTCAAAACGTTGACCCTTTATAGCCCGAAGAGGTAAGATAATATTGTGCATTTCGAATCTGAACTTATTCTGATATACATTTTACGACATTTCTGGTTTGGATCATATAGAGATATGTACATATACTCTTTGAAAATGTTGTATTGTTGTGGGGGAGGTACCAGAAGTGGACTGACAGATAAGATATATCTGTGGTGCCAGAATGTTCCTCTGCGGTATTTTGGCCCATTCCCGGCGAAACACTTGCTTGAGTTAATCGACACTTTGTCATTTTTTAGTGCCAACCCTGCTCTCCAAAATACTTCACACACACACAATAGTCCAACGGATTGGAGATCCGAAGATTTTGGTGGCCATTGTGCGCTGGAAATGAAG